AGAACACCTCCCCCCCTCCCCCCAAAAAGAGGCCAACATGTTTAAAAAACAAGTCTCGAAATCATTTGGGGATTTAAGGTACCATACAAAAAATATCAAGCCAAGAGTTGCATAAGTTTACTCTGATTTTGAAGTTAGCTATGTTAACTATGTTTATAATTGTAAAGAGTTTAGCTTTCTCTGGTGATATGTGAGATTATTTCCATTTTTAATTGATTTATTCTTTAGTAATATTGATCTAGCAAAGTCTCAGATAATTTGACATCTAATTACTTTACAAAGTTTTAATTAATTTAAAAATGGGAAATTATGCCATGGTGCTGCAAACATTTTTTTTGAGTAAAATGATAAAAAAACTTTAAAAAGGGCATTCTGAAGGAGACTGCATGCCTGTTAATTTACCTTCTCTAAGATGCTTTCTTTCTGCCCATGTTTAAAGTCTTCTTTTTTTACTTTGAAAGATTTGTACAAGAGTTCAAGTTTTGTAGGATCTGCTTGAAGATGAACTTCAGAGCCTTTTTCATAGGCCTCCCAGGCGAATACTTTGAAAATAAAAGAAAGGAAAATATTTTCAGGTTTTTTGAAATACATGAGCGTTGAACTATTAACTAGCTTTTATTTAATAGGCTCTTAGAAAATATTGTGAAAAAAATTATCTGTGAAGGAAACCCTAGAAAAGAGGATTCTTACTCTTTCCCATCCTATGGGAGACAAAGGGACAAGACAGAATCAGTGTGGAGGATAAACACTTATCCCTACCAGGTCCATTTTTAGACCAAGGATCCAAGAGAGGTAAATGGGACTGGAGGACATTTTACTTGGTGCCATCACATCCTCCCCTGATATCATAAATTAATTCATTTCCAGCTCCAATATTCGAAGAATTCATAAAGGTAAAGATAAAAGGTAAAGTTATCCCTTGTCTAGTCATGCCTCACTCTAAGGGGCAGTGCTCATGTCCATTTCTTAGCTGAGGCAGCCAGAGTTGTCTGAAGACATTTTTGGTGGTCCTGCGATCAGCATGGCTACACACCAAAGATGCACAGAAGAGTGTTATCTTCCCACTGAAGTGGTACCTATTTATCTACTTGCATTTGCATGCTTTCAAACTGTTAGGTGGGCAGAAACTGGAGCAAGTAACGGGAGCTCACCCTGTCGCATGGCACTTGGGTCTCAAACCTAGTGTGTTAGCTTTCTATCTGATAAGCTCAGTGTCTTTAATCACTGAGCCATCACGCCCCCTAAGAATTCATAAAAGTGCATATTTTCTTTCTGTAGTCAATGACCCTTTGACAGTACAAAGAAAGCATGCACTTACAGTCCTTGAAGAGTCTGGAAAGCAGTGGTGGGTTATGACCGGTATGCCCCGGTACGGGCGTACCGGTGCCTGCCAGGAGCACCAGGTACCATTCCGGTATGGTGCTCTGGAGAGCCCACCCGCCTGCGCTCCTTACCGGTATTTGAAATTTTCAGGGCACAGAGCATACAGCGTCTGCATAACGCTCCGCCAAGCAGTTGGAGTGTCGCGGGCGATAAGTGCGCACGTGCGCGTTGCGTGTGTTCATGTGATGGACTTCTGGTCCTGTTGCACCGTACTGGTTGCAACGGGATCCAGAACCCACCACTGCTAGAAAGGTATATGCATAGCACCTTTCAAAAAAGCAATGGTTTTGGGTTGCAACTCAGAATGTATATTTTAACCTTTTATAATATAAATATGTAAAAGTGATAAATATAAATAAGAGCAATAACCATGTGAATGTATACCTGAACTATATATAAGATAATAAAAATAAAAAACTTTAAAAAAAGCAATGGTTTTAATATACTTTGGGAGAGGGCATTGTTAGAGGACTTTGCCTGTAGTATTCTCCCTCCACCTTTGTTTGGGAAATATAGTATCAAATATGCCTATAGTACCATAGATGCCTATGAGGGAGATGGACAGTTAAGAAGTGTGATATATAAATATTCTTCCTTAAAGAATAATCTTATCTAAACAAATTTAACTTAAAAACAAGTGAGCAGCATTAAAAGATACACCTCAGATTTAGTACTTACACTGAGTTTGGGCCATGGAAATGGTGGCCCCCGTGTAACGAACGAAGTTATCTCCTGCATAACTGACTCTGTAAGCAAAAATATTTCATTCTGTAAGTATTTAGCTTGTGGTTCTATTTTGCACATACAGAAGCAAAGCAAATACAAGGCTATTTTGATTGAAAAGTATAAATTTAATAAGACCCATTCTTTGTTCATTAATGTGATTCTGGGATTCATTATTGCTTCTCCTATTGCATTTTGATAACAGCAGCCGATCGTTTTGGTCTTAAAATGTCATTTTAAATTACTTTGTTAGTAATTTAGATCAATGTGTTGACAGAGTAATTCGTAATTTAGTTGTCATTAAAATATACTATGAGAAATAATCTCCAAATTAAATCTGGGCAAGAAAAAGGATAGACATTCTTCTGCAGCCAAATGTCTATTTCATCTACACATAAGAGATTAAAAAGACTTTTTCTTATATGGCATGGTTATTCACTAAGAGTTAAAAGCTTTCTGAAGGTAATTACAGAAACCTGTGGTACTTATTTTACAGCAGTTATGCTGTAGGCAACTAATATTCATCTGTGTTCATTGCCAACTCTCCCAGTTTTCCAAGATTTATGAGCATTCCAGACAATCTGCTCTGAGGAAAGAGCACTATGACATACTTCTCTCTCTCTTTTTGAAACTTTCTTCAACCAGGAGAGACCTTCCCATGTATCAGTTCTAGAGGAGAATACAAGACCATGAATTTGTTGAAGCAATTTGAAACTAACTTACTCATCTGGATTCTTTCCTGCATTGGCATAAGGATTCTCCCTCATTGCTCTGGTTTTAGGATCATAGTAGGCAGAATTGGGGTCCAGATTCCGTAGGTACTAAAGAGCAAGAACATAAAAATATCAGCTTGAAATTCTAATACAGCTAACAACACTATCAATTTAATGTAGCTATTATGAGATTATCATGTAGAGGTACCAATAAAACCAGATAATCAATAATGTGAATCAGGCAAACCCAAAGTTAGGATGCATTACAGCTATCACCCATCACTATACCCATAACCGGTTCTCTTTAATCCCTATAAGGAAGGAATGCCATTCTGCAGAAAGGAAGGAGAGCTGAAATTCTGTATCTTGGATTATTTTGATCATTTTACACAGTACTAAATGATTTACACTGTATTTACACTATTATGTTGCATTTGCTGAATTCACACAGTATCCTAAGCCATAGAGTGGCATACTGTTGTGGCCCAACAGTGGACAGCTGAGCTGTTGGTGGAATCTGACAGCGACGAACACTATGGGACTGCCCTAGAGTCTGAGGAAGTCTCTGGGGGGTGTTTGGAGTCAGAGCAGGGACTAGAGGGGCCTTTTGGCCACCAGATGGCGTCTGAGTCAGGGAGCAGTGAGGAAGAACAGAGGGAGGCTGTCCCTGATGTGCGTATACGTAAGGCTGAGAGGAGGAAGGAGCAGCTTTGGAAGCAGAATCACAGAAGGAAATAGGAACAGGTGGCTACTGGTTGGCCCTTCCTAGAGAGCTTATAGGTGGGGCGGCGGGAGGGGAATTTTGCAGGAAACAACAATTACTGATCCAGCCGTAGTGAAAGATTGGGAGAATTTCTTGTTTCATAGAGATAGCTTTCTGGGCTCCCAGCCAAGGGGTTGCTTATCTCCCTCCTTAGTTGTGGCAGATAGCCAAGTCTACCTCCGTATATATTAGAGCCTTGGGACAAAACACATACTTAGTTACTACTTGATGATACTACT